CCTAAGCCCTAGAGTTTGAATTATGCGTTGCTCTCACAACGCAAAAATATGATTGGCTTATGTTAGGAGCGTTGACAACGTGTTGTACTTCTCGCGGTTTTCTTTCGCATTACGCACGACGGACTAAGCGAAAGAGGGATTACTCGTAGTCTACCCTGTGTGACACAACTTCTACATTGTACTTTAGCACCCATACCCAAAAAAGAACATAAATAGCTTATACATGTCGGTAGAAATGATCCATGGAAGAGAGCTGTATTATATACACGTGTGCTACAAAACATTACCATCAACTGGGGAATATTTGCAAGAAAACAAGTATATATAATATGCAACTACAAGTATATAAAAACAAATTCAGTCCTCTATCCTCAAACCTTGAATGCAGCCACACATGTATACATATGTTTGCAACAAACTGCAAATAAAAGTGTAATTCATATGTTATGCAACTTAGGTTCTCACCAACTTTCTTTTCTTCTTCAGCAAATCCAGGTTAATCTCATACTATAATGAACAGAAAACAAAACCAGCAAAAGAATACTTAATAACTAAGACACTTTGTCAGAAATTACAACTCTAACTTGAAAGTAAGGGACGCTGAGGCTATATTCATTTATTATGTTTCTAGTTTCATCATCAGTAGCATGGCAACATAGCTGCTTAATATATTCTAAAGATCTGAAGATTTTTGAAGTTATTACTGGTAGTACTTATTGTGTATGCACACTACAGTAACCTTGATACACTTTAGTTTGATTATTTTAATATTTGCATTATGTACTGCAGATAGAAGAATCTCTAGCCACTTCATGCTATGACTGTAGAAACTAAGATACATGTTAGAGCCAGTTCTAAGACTGTCATCAAAGGCCCTAACCGGTAACTCCTTATTATGGCTGAGTATACGTGATGGGCCCTTGATGTTACAGTTGAACTTGACTGTTGGTGATGCAATATTCACCACTAAAGTAACAGGGTAGTTACAGTATACATGTATGAGTATGAAGATCAAGGCAAGGGGTGACTCAAAACATAACGACAGTCCTTGGGCTGTGGACCAACTTGGCCCAGGCACAGACATGCATTTAAATCAGAGTAAATGAAATCTATTGGTTTACAGCAAAAGAAATATCAGTCAGACCACCACATAAAATGTCTATACAACATGGAATCTACATAATACCTGCATGTATCTTAGAAAATCTGTCTTCTGGACAATCCTCTTCTGCAAGCGGTATTCAAACTCTCTTCTCTTTCGAATGATAGTCCTGTATAGTGATATTATCGTAGCAAAATGGTTTACCTAAGTCCTCAGTGTTTTTATAAAGATTTAAATTTTACAGTATAGCCAGGTTGGGAATCTGTAGCTCTATCTCGTCTTATCTGCAGCATAAGATGATCATATTGTCTATGCAAGTGCTTGTTACACTGTTTAATTAAGTTGAACCATGATATATTGACTCGCTGATTTCAACCGATGAAGATGCTGATACCCAAAGGGTGACTGAAATCATGCAAGTCATACTAAAGCAGACTAAAAGACAACAACAGAAGCCTTACAATGTAATAATTATTTATAAGCTTTATAAGCTTATAAAAAGCTAATATATTAAGCTTAGTAAACAACGACACAAACTTCAAACCCTCGCTTACTTTGTCTCTACTTTTGGGAAAGACAAACTTTACTTGTATTGTAAAAACAACGCTTTCAAATTATGCAGTAATGGCGTTATTCGATTCAAATAAACATGTTAAATTCCTCACCTGATTTCATCGCTTGAAAACACTCCCATCCGCTCCAATTCCTCCAGTTCAGGCAACATGCCCTCCAGATTTTGATGAACATATTCTGCCATCGTGAAACTCTCGTGCAACAAGAAGCACAACTCTAAATTCTAGGAGTAAAGATCTGAACCAAACTTCTCACTTCGTCCACCATGTGTAATTCCTACACTTTTCTTTGAGACACCGCTGACAAGCATATGATTTTTGTTATCATCTTATATGAAG